GCAATATAACTGAATTTTATTTTCTAAATCTTAGTTTTATGGCAAATATTAACACTTGTTTAGGCTGAAACCCATAAAATTTGTAATTATGTAGCATAAATTCCGATGTGATAAATGTGCAATGTAGAAACTAACTAAATCACAATAAACAGCAGCTCTGTAACTTTATGAAGAATTAAAATTTCATATACATGCTAAGCACCACGGTTTTCAACCAAACTTGTGAGAGAATACTACTGTTCTTTCCAGAGCCACTGTGTCATCTTCAATGGAAATTCTGTCAGGACTGTAACTAAATTAAAAATTAATTTTAAAATATATTAACAAATAATACTAATCAAAAGGATTATTTTGTTCTAACTGCAAGTCTTCTAAGAAAAGCAGCAATCATTTGTGACAGTACAGAATATGTCAGTCTCAAGTAATTCGGCAATTCTGACGGCGTATGACGGGGAAGCTCACAAACAGACAAATCGTACAGCAAAGCAGATGCTTTTCTTCCATCGCACGACCCTGGATCCCGTCCCACCCATGCAACAGACCCAGAACAATTACACTGCAGCTTAGGGTGTTATCAAGTCTTTGAAGGAGCATCTGGTTCAACTAATGTTTTCTCTGCTCATTAATAAAAGGAAGAAGCTGCAGTAACTCTCAGTACAGCACACTGTCTCGGCAACAAATAATGGCCATTAACTTCATATAGTGATGAAGTTGCCAGAAAATATCACATGCTTTGGGGTTTTATACACTGTCTATACCCCACAACCAGAATACTTTCTGGTGGAAAATGGTAGATCTCTAGGGAAATACCAATATCAAATACTCCAGCAAAATTCAGTATATAGCAGTTAAAAGGTGTCTTTTTTTTTTTTTTTTTTTTTTAATGGAAAAACCTTTTCATAATCAAATGCAGATGAAAAGTGATTGTAAAGTGTTTATTCTAATTTATTACACACATACACATGCACCTACTGAAGCAGCCACAGTGTCCACCACAAATTTCTATAAAATTGCTTGGTCCTGATAACCCTCAGCTCATTGTTCCCAGCTGGAAAGCCTGCTCTTTTTAATAACCAATTCAATAAACTGTTGAAAAATGCTTTGTATAATATAGTATTGCCATAGATCTGATGTTTGTCTCTGTCATTACATATTGCATTCAATCAATTTACAAATGTTGCTGTGTTCCTTTTGTGCTAGTTCTTCTTAAGGCATCCTGAACACAAATCCAAAGATCAATACCTTGTCTGCTGAAAAAAAATTGGACATAACAAATGAATGATTTTATTTATAATAAAAGTCCTAGTCCCTAAATGGATTCTACTAATGTTCAAATTCATTTTTCATGTTTAACACAAGATGAAAGCAAGTACCCTGCACAATGCAATGAGAAAGGCAGTGATAAAAAAACCCAGTTCATATTTATTGAAGATGTGAGCAAAACCATGTAAAGCTATGGTGTATGGCTAGGAAAACATCAATAAAATGGTGTGTCATTCACAAAGTATTTGTTACCATATTAAAGAGCAAAAAGTCCCCGTCAAAGAGCAGATGGATTTTCTTTAAAAAGACACCACAGTTCTGCTCTGAACTATGGAAGCAGGAAGGCTCTGAATGAAATAATTTAAGAAAGAAGACAAACAGAAGCTTAGCTCGTGCTGGTTGCATGAGCAGATTCAGTTCATCTTGTGCCTTTTGTGAGACAGAAACAATGCATTTGCTGGCTATAGACGCATCCCCGCACTACTCCAGCTATGGAATAGCTGCCGCCTCTAAAACAACTATGTAGGTGTTCAAGGGAGCCACAAATGGCTTCTTTCACAATCACTCTTTGCAGAGCAGCAAGCTAACAGAACTTAGAGGAAACAGGGACTCTGCTTTTCATAGAAAACAATATTGGTACCTGTATAAGCGTACAAATCCCAGCAAGCTCACACAATAACACCTCCTCCCCACTCCCTAGGTAACTGCTCAGATGTGCACTGCATACAGTATTCCCACCCAGAGTCTTGGCTCCATAACAATTCACAGGCATTAGCAAAAGAAAATCATACCATTTCTGTACACAACAGAAAACCAACATAAAAACACACCCTGAAAAACAATATCTCATTAATCAAGACTGTCCCCAATATCGTGTGCCTGGCTGCTCTGAAATAAGACAGAGAAATAGAAGGGGCAGGGAAGCCCCATCTTCCCCTTCGAACTAGATGGAAGAACAGCGCAAGTACGTATGTACTCCTCATTCTGTCATGGGAGCTGACTGTGGTCAGGCACCTCTGAGCCTTAACCATTTTTCTGTTAGGTGACAGCAAAGGGACGGGCTGTCCTGAGGGAAACACGCACTAATCCTGCACACTGGCCCCGTGTAGCTCTGCCCCTCCATTTGGTTGTGCCAAGAGAGGTGAATGAGTTTGCTACTGCTGTCAAACACATGTGCGGATTTTAGCTTACAGAGCAGAAATTCCAGCTGAACGCCAGATACCCCTTACTCAATAGAAGATCCCAGTTCCTTCTTGCTCAAGAATCTGCAATAATCACATCTTCATTCAAAGGGATCCTACTCTGAACAGGTTCCCGCGGCCATGAGCTAGTATGCACCCATTAGACAGAAGTGTAAAGCTGGGGAAATTGAGGCAGCTTTCTCCAAGAAAAGGGGAACTCTTTCCTTACCATGAATACTATGTTCTTGCTATTCCTATTAGCACAGTTTGACTTTCAAGTGTCAAACTGAATTCACAGGATCGGCAGGTGGAAATACACAAAACAAAACTCTGTAACGTGTTAACTGAACAAGCACGCTTTGGCATTGCTCAAATCATGAACGCTGAACTCCACAAGACCATTTTGACTGATTTTTTTTTTCCAGGGTATAGCTTTATTTTAAAACTATTACAGCAAATTCACAACTCCAATCCTACGTTCTGTTTCAAGATGGAATTTCAACCTTACTAGTTAATTAAAGCCACCACCTGGAGAGAGCTGGCTTTCAAACTGATTTCCTTTGTCTCTCTAATTCACACACATTAATATTTTATTTTCTACGGGAAAAAAAAAATGAAAAGGAATGTCACAAGTGTGCCAAAGACAAGGCAGATAAAATTATTGCAATAAAACAAAGAAAATACACTTGTTACTGCCAGGTCTTGAGATGAATGCTGCATTATACAGACATTTTAAAGGCTTACAACTGCAAATTGCTCTATTTTACATACTGTATCCTAGCCTTTGCATCACGATCTTTTCTAATTTTTTCTTATTGTAATGAGAAAGGGAAAGGGTTGGGTTTTTATTACCTGAACATTTATTCAATGGAGAAACAAAGACTATATTATATATTACAACACATGAGCTATTAAAACAATGTGACACTATAAAATATGCTGCAATACTCATTGTGGGATAACAAAGCTAAACCTGAGCAAATAAATGTATCTGCCAAACAGTCAGCAATAACTATACAACTAGAGTTTATAATCTTTAATTATTTAAAAGGGAAAGAAGCATGTAATAATTAAATTTTATAGGCTGCTTAAATTGTCATTACTGGGTGCTCACAAAACTTTCAAACAAGTATCTTTCATCTGAAAGAACTCTATTTTTAACAACAGATGCAATTGTTCACTGAAATGATAAATTGAAAAAAATCATTAACTATTGTTTTTAAAACTTCCACACACAGTACAGATAACATTTTATTTACTCTCTGATCTGGACAAGGCACATACCACCATACTGCCCAAGCGTTTACTGGCTCTGCATCTCACAATGACCGATACAATACTGGCCTTCGATAGCTTTGAAAAGGTGAGGGGTTTTACGGCAAATCTGTAAATCACATCAATTTACATCAGATACTTCAGAAACTTGAAGTTGAGAAGAATTGTTCATTTAGTTCTTTATAATATATTGGTAAGATAGTAACACCTTTCAAGTTTCTGTAAAGTCTACGCATCTTTGCCACGCATTTACAACCAAATGATCTGACAGACACCACTCAAAGCAGGTGTAGAGAGAAGTTCTATCTAGAACAACTCTAAGCTACAGAAGTGATGGAAGGAGAGGAAGTTTCCATGTTTCAGGAGAAACACATTTATGGGTTTAAAAAAATATATTAAAGGTTACTAAATTTTAAATTATGAAAGAAACAACATAAAACTGAAAAAGAACGAGAAAGCTTTTGATAAACTGCAAATTACTTTCTTCTTTTCCCAAAACACATTCAGCCATTGCCTAACTGAGTTGCTACTAAAATTTTACCATGGGCCTCTATGGAAATGATCAGTCTTGAGCTTCTGAAAAGATCCAACTCAAGCCACTGAAATCAGCACAAGTTACAGAGCAGAGTTTTGACTGGAAAAGAACATGCCTCGCTACAAAATACACTAAATAGGTAGTTCAGCATCTTGCAGAATCAAGTTCCTATACAGTTTCTAAACTGAGAATTTTACTTACAACATGGGGCTTAATTTTTTTCCTCAGAAAATGCGTGCGCTATACAGATGGTTTATTTAATCCATTCCTACCTAAATTAATCAAAGCAATCTGTCCCAAAAAAATGAGCGCCTTCATACTGGATTCTGCTGCCATTTGACAAATTGCGTACATTTAGCTAGGAGAAGTTGAAAATCCTCCATAAAGAAGTTACCACATCTAAAAATAAGTGACATTATTAAAAGGGAAGCAGGATGTGTTATTTAGCATAATATGAAATTTAAACAGTACCACCTCAGATACACTTTAAAATGCTTTTAGTAGCACCTGGTTGTTTATACATCTTCTGTGGTGAAAAGGTCAATAGAAATTCACCTCTAAGGTCACAGTTGCTAAGCAACTGTTTTCGGCAGTTCTGCAACACCAATCAAGCGTATTATGTTCCACTGCCTGGTTTCAGAATAAACCCGCGTAGCATCCTACCTGGCCTTTGAAGCACACCGAACTCCTCCTGCTTTTCCCAAGAGTGCAGGCGCCCATCGTTGAGGCGCTGCTCGAAAGGATACGCCCTGGGACCACGGGCTTCCGGTTCACGAGAGCAAAGGAGAGCTCAGTCTTCAGGAAGACCACAGAGGGCTTGACGAGGTGCTGCCCAAATCTCAGCATAATAAATGTTAATCTTCAGGGTCTGAAAGAGACAATAGTTAAGATACTGACTTAATATTTAAGGACTTAATAGTTAAGGACTGACTTTGCCTTTCCAAACAACAGCAACAAGACAACCAAATGCTCTAGGCAGCTTCGAACTAAAGTACCTCCTGGGCTCATCAAGGCATTAGGTGTTTTGGAAAGGTTGGTAAGGCTTTCCTAAAAGTGCCACTTCTTTGAAGGGGTGGTGGCAAGGGCTTCTTTCCAAATAAAAAATTTTATATATAATAACTTAAAACCCTTTTCTTATCATCTTGGCAGGGCCACAAAATTCTAGACAGAGAATGTAATTTCTCTCTCCCATTTTCATTTGCTCTGCAGTGTATACATTTGAGTCATATGTGCTTGGAGAAGCACAAATAGTATTTTGCATGCCCTTTGCCACAATGCAAATCAATGCACACAGGACTTACAAAATAAAGAAACCACATTTTCTAAATCAATTTCTCCACAAAATACCTCAATTGAAGAAATATTGACAAATTAAGGAAAGCATATTTAGTCATTTTCCATCCATGTTTTCTAGTTTGAGCAACTGAAATGTGAACGATCCAGCAATGAAACTGTAAGCTAGTATCTCCAGTAGCTGGAAAATCAAAAGTACCACCAAAACGATCAATAGTTGTGTGCAACATTTTCTCCTACACAAAGCAAGCCAAAGAGTTCCACTTTCATTCACTAAAATTTTCTCTCCTCCTGGTGAGGATGAAAATCCTTCTTAAATAACTAAGGCACAATCCTAACAGTGTCTATTTTAGGTCTTTAAGCCCTAGAGTATTTATCGTATTTAATTCAATCAGAAATATCCAAGGTGCTGCAGGGTAAAATACAAAGTAATGAAGAATTTCATGTGACACAATACTTCAGACACACTGAAAGCATTACCTTGCTTGAACCAAGTGACTAATCAGAAAATGCAGTTATAAGTTGCTTCAGATGGGGAAAGATACTGTTAGAGTCACATAGGGTCTTTTGCTGCAGTTTTTTTCTTGCAAGCCTGCTGTGTTTAGTAAGACCCAAACTTGGTTCTTTATCTAAAAGGCTTATTCTAATTTAAGGTCCCACTCCTTGTATCTGCTCCAACAAAAAGTACATACCACAAGCCCCTCTAAGTGCACACACTTTGAAAGTGTCTTTGAGAAGTGTTTGTTTTTAGGAAGGAGGTTCTGGCTTTTTCAGCTGATTCCACAAAGAATTTCAGTAAACTGAAATAAGGACAGCAGATGCATTTAAGTCAGGCTTTACACCAGAAAGACATGTGTAAAACTTAGCATAAGGTACAGTAACCAATCACATGACTACACGTTCAAGTAATAAACGCTCTCTAAGCAGGCGCTGTGTCTTGTTTTATTTTTGAAAATCACAGATTAAGGGAAATACTTGAGCAGACCACGGAATTGTGGAGATTTTAACTACACCTGCTTCAAAAATCTGAAAACGTACTATATTTTTTCCCCCCCACACAAAGTCAACAGAATAAGTGTCTGAGAAGATGCGTCCCTTACTGTATATTAAACCGGAAACTTGACAGCCTACAAAAAAAATCAAGTCTCTTCAGCTACTAGAATAATCGCTTAGCAGAGGAAACACCTGCGATTTTGTGCTGATGTCTGAAAAAAAGAATTAGGAACTTCAATCTTCCTCATTTCTCTTAAGCTGTCCATCAGCAACCCTCCTGTGGGAGTTTCTCATGCTGATTAAAACATGCAAGAACATTTTTACATGATACGATAGAGACATGGTTCTCTTCGCAATGAAGGAAATGTTTCCAATAAAGGAGCAAAACACATTAAATAGCCAGGACTACCATCCAGTGACGAAACTGTAAGCTGGTATCTCCAGTATCTGGAAAATCAAATGTAGCGCCACACCTGCCATTGCATCGAGCAATACTATGGACAGAATAAAAGTACTAGTGATCATTTCTTAGTCTGTCTTCCAGACTACTGGTAACTAAAAGCACTCTCCAGAGACATGAAAAATACCTAAACACAGAACAAAGGCTTTAAAATAACAGATGCTGATTTTAAAATCTGATGCTTTGAAGTTTGATTTAAGGAGGCAGAGAACCTGAGATTTTGGTAATAACCAGGAGAGGTCCTGGTTTGCTGCCCTAAGCTAAAAACAAAAACCAATAGCAGCATAAGGTTGATGACACTGGAAATAAGGCCTGGATCCCGTGCTTCAGCAACTGAGACTCCAAGGAAGCTGGAAATGGATGAGCTAGTGCTTTTCTATTCTAATTCATCTACCTAAAATTACTAGGGGCTCCTGTGGGTCTTGCCAATCTAATGGTGACTTGGAAACTCATTGTTAAAAATAATCAAATCCCACTCTGAAGAGTATGTTGCAAAATTCTTAGAATTGCAGAATGGAACAAATACTGATAATACGAGAACCAAGGTTAAATTTGTGTTAAGGGCTTCATGTTAAGGGCAAGGGCATCCCCTGATGTAAAAGTGAAAATGGCACTGCAGACAGTGGATTTGGGACAGAAAGACCATATTGGAGAGTTGATAAGCAATAAAAATGACACTGGATTTCTTGTTGAAATAAGATCTTAAATAAAAATAATAAAAAATAAAATCTTAAATAAAAGCTTAATTATCTAAATATCTTAAATATACAACATATCTAAATATTCCACGATCCCACACAATATCCCATCCATACAATAAAAATTAATTTCTCTCTCCCCTTTAACCCTGAGGATTTGTAATCCTATCTAGATTTAATAGCAAACTACTAATCTGTCCTTAAGACCTCCATTTAACATCTGCATACAAGAGTCGTTAAATTCATGGGAAATCCTGAGCTTTCAATATCTCAAAATGGGAAGAGCTAGTACCATGAAACAGTGGGTAGAATGTACCAGAATGATGGAACGGAACCCAAATTCTAGAACTGACGTTAGGGTTTACCTGAAGTCGAACACTGTAGGCCAGGAGGTAGTGCTCCAGCAGGTAACCTGTGGCAGGCAGGGAAGCGGCAGAATTCCCTGAGCCCAGGAAGCTCATTCACAACTGGAAACCAAGGCCATGACTCTACAAATATCTACATTATCATAGGCAGTTTGTGCAACCTCCAATGAACCTATGGAGAATACCTCTGCAATCCACAGTAACACCATAAAGGAGAAGAGTCTCTTCAGGATATTCACCATCAGCTGGACCCTATCACTTACTCACCATAATTTCATCACTGGAATGTTTTTATTAAAATTAACCCTAAGCTGTACTGGGAAAAATACGTATCCGATGGCCCTATCAGAACAATGCCATACATCCTTTTTCATACTTCAGGAGAGATTTTCAAAACAGATTTTGTCAGTTGAGTTGACATCCTGTATAAATACACCCAACATTTGCCAAAATAAACATATGCAACATTATCAGCCGCAGGGTTTGGGTCACCATGGCTCTCTAATAGCGATGGGTATTTTCAATGCTTTAGAAACAATTAAAAATGCATTTTCAGAAAATGCTAAATGGATCCATACATAGATTCTGTGGACCACAGAATTTAGGTTGACTATACAATGTATTCATAATACACCTACCACATGCATCTTTGCTTATTTTATTGCCATTTTGAAAAGAAAAAAAAAAAAAAAAAAAAAAGGCCAGAAAGAATCAGTGAAGTAAAACCACTGGCCTCACACCTCCCTGAGCAATAGTCTGAAGAATCAGGTTACAGCCCAACCAGGTCAACCCAGAATTATTAGAACATTTTTAAATCTCATGCATAGAATTAATGCATGTAATAAAATCTTTTCTATTGGCTTACTGTACAATAATATATCTGCATAATGTATTTCTATCTCTTGATTCAGACTAAATAAATACAGCATGTGTTTCAAACAAGTGTGTCAGCTGTATTGGTTGCACCATGTAATACTGCAGACTTCCCAGTGCTGTCATCTCCAATTCTGAAAGGGATTATGGGATTTTTTTTTTCTTGAACAATTATTCACAATCTATTATGTATTACTTAAGCTGTTTTCTCCCCTAGTGATCCTCTGTGTTTTTCTGTAAAGCACAATCGTCTGTGCTCAGAACCAATACAAATGCTAAAAAATACATTAGTGCAATGGGTACAACTGAAATATCTGTGGCTGCAGAGCAACACACTGCAGCAGGGCTGGAATATTCCAGAGTGCAGCAAGGCAGGAAAGTGCTACCAGCAGAGCAAGTTTTCAGTCATCTAAATTCTACCTGCTTATTGCTTGAATGGCCTGTAAACAAGCAGAAATCAATACAGTACAGGTGCATGCATGCAGGTCATGAGATGCAAATGGTGTGTGCACAAGGCTTCCCAGCTGATTAGAATCACCTCACTAAGCCTGTTCCTCCAGGGACTTCCATTTTTCACATAATGAGGAGGTCATTGCCAGCTAAGACAGAAACTAAATATAATTGGTGAAAGATGTTTCTTCTTTAATGATAGTAGTGTTTCTAATCCCAGTAATAAGGAGGACAATTACATAGTAATGTTAGAAAATGAAAGAAATCCATTTCCGATAAAAGAAAATTTCAGCCCAGTTTAACACAGTCTCTATTCTGACTATTCAGATGAAAAGTGTATTTACTCTTCTTCATATTGAATGTACACATTACATTGCCTATTTCATCTGCCTCATTTTCCTAATTAAATTTTCTTCAAGCTGTGTTCCTGCAGTTGTAGGTGGGTATATAGCATTAAAGACTAATATAGCAAGTAGACTAATTTTACAGCCACAACAGATCTCAAATCTGTGTAACTCGTACTAGGATAAAAATGTTATATTGGCATTCTACACTGAACCCTGAAAAACAAGAGTGCTAAAATTAAGAAAAATGTTGAGATACACTGAAATATTTTCAAATATTATCACAGTTTTGTAAAATTTCAAGAACAGGCACATTGCATTTGCCCAGCCTATATAAATACTACTCATACATTTAACGTATTTTTGAGAGGAAATCTAAACACGGGTCTTAATTCTCCAAGTTTATTTGGTTTCGGGAGTTAGGGGTTATGTTTTGTGCTTCAGTTTTTAAATAGCAGAAGCCATAGAATTTGTTTGGTGTCAAACACACAGGGAGAACTCTAAACAGAAGATAAGGTTCACCTAAAGACAGGTCCCCAGGACATCAAGATAGGTGCCTGCTAGCTGCATGTCATCTCCAGAGTCAGAAACCAGTAGCCTGGAATGCCGCTAGAAATTACTTTCTCTGAACTGACTCTAAGTAGTGAGGGCACTAATTCTTTAAGGCTGTCTTCCTGCCTCCACAGACCTCCCTTAGCTTAATTGAGATGGTGTTGGTACTCCAAAGTGCCTTTATTTTATCATACAATTACTTGTCCGTAACAGCACGGTGTTGAGATCACCACCCACTGGGAACCAAGCTCAAGGCTTGTGCCGAGCAACCACATGAGCACTGTTCTGGGAAAGCTACGAATCTGATTGAAATGAGAGAACAAGATGATGCAATATGGGCTGCTAACCTGAAATGTGTATGTTAAAGAAAACCAATTACAATATCATTATCTCTCTTTGCCAATATAAATGTTTTGGAAAAAATCCGAGGTGTATTCTTAAATTCTGAAGTTTTCCTTTCTACCTTATTAATATCACCCGTTCATTGATTTTGACACTCCCGACTCTGCTACTCAATTTCACTGTAAAAACACTGCAAATTTGTATGGCAAAATTAAAACAACTTAGCTGCTTTTTTTTTTTTTTTAAGGTCTTACAAAAAATTTTTTGTTTACATTCAGCAAGAGTAGACAACTTGTGTCACACACTGAAGTTAAGGGAACAAAGTAGCTCTCCAGTAAATGATGTTTATGGCTAACTTCAGATTTTTCCATCACATTTTCTAAGCTGTCCTTTATTCTACAAAACTATATCCTTAAATGCATATTTGGCATTTTTCCTCTCTAAAAGGTTTGATTATGTGGAAAGCGATATTCCTACTTCGACATCTGAATTCTGCACCATGTTCAAGAAGCGATGAACAACGAAGAAGTGCTCTGCGTGCTATCTCCCCTCTCTTCATGCTTTATTATTTTTTACTCATTCCCTCCCCTCACTGCCACTTTACCAGGATGAAATCCACACAATTCAGAATATTACTTGCAATGAACGTCCTTGTTCCTAGCAGCCAGGGTTTTCCATTTTGATCAAAGAATACTTAAAAACACTAATGAAAAGAAATCATCTTATTCTAAAATCACTGTTTTTCTACTGGCCCTTTGTCCCTAGCGTGGCTTTATCTCTCAGCATCCTCTACTCCCACCCTTGTACAAGATTTAACTACGTACTTTGAGTTCTTCCAGTTTCAGAAAATGGCCTCTAATTAAAAAACCCCTCTCCCTCTCAGTGAGCCAAAATACTGCATGCTACTGCTATTTCTGTTCTGAAAAAGCCAAGAAGAATTACAAAACTAGAAAAGGTTCTCAAGTATCTTTGACAGCCATAGCCTAGATTCTCTCCATGGGGATGGTATTTAATGCTCTACATGGGGTTAAAGGGAAAAGCTTGTGTGGATTATTTTCCATTTTCACCACCCACAGAAGCTACTGAACAGAAAGCCCATTAAATGTGATGCATGCAACCAATCCTGGCTGTGTTGACAAGGACTGATTTTTCACGTCATACGCAGATTATGATGGACTTGAATCTACTACACGTGGTTTCCCCCGCTTAACCTAGCAGCAAAGAAAACATCAAAATTATTACTGTTTAAATGTATTGCCATTTTCTTAGCATGGTCAATCAAGCTAAATTACCTACACTTAAAATTAAAATAGACTGTCATGTGTTGCATAGTACCTAAGTGCTTTAATGTCTATGATGCTAATGGCCACCCATTTGCAGTCCTGCAGCCTGCCTTCTACTTGCAGCTCTGCTCCTTTTCACCCAAGCTGCAGCAGCATTTCCCAGCAGTTTCTGGGACAGTATTTTTCCGTTCTGCTCTCACAGTGTTGATCTCACGGTCTTGCACCTGGAAGCCCTGGTATTGCTGTTAGCGCAGATTCTCCTAGGGCATAACTGTGACCACCATAAGAATCGTCCCTTCCTCCGTCCCCTTCTCCTACTGCCTGTTTGTAGCTTTTGGGTTATACCAGCGGACCCAAGAATGTGCTACACAAAAACACAGCACCCAAGCCTGAGCACAGCATGCCCCATTTAACACAAAGAGCATCACAAGAGGGAGTCCTAATGAGCAGGTCCTGATGAAACTAGATAGCTCCCAATCATACTGGGTCTGACCGGGATGGGGTTAACCTTCTTCACAGTAGCCTGTCCAGCACTGTGTTTTGGATTTGTGACTTAACCAGTGCTGATAACACAGCAATGTGTTGGCTAATTGCTGAACAGGGCTTTCTATTTTTCCCCACTCTGCCCACCACCAGTGAGTTGATGTGGCTCCTGATAGTAACGCTGCATGCCTCTCAACCTGTCGCAACACCCTTTGTGCAACCAGTCTAGCCCTCAACATGATATACTTAAAACAGAAGATGCACAAAATCCAAACAAAACACTGTCAGCCAGTTTAAAGCTATAGGTCACATACAATACTAATACACACTAGTCGTATTGGGATCTGAACTTAGAGCCCCCAGAATAAAGCAAAACTCAGATCCATTCTAAATAGACAAGTTACATTTTAAGGGGAGCCTTACACGTTACTAAAACATCTCCCTGCTGCCTCCTTTAGATCTTAATTTGTTTTGGTTTTTCTTCCCATGTGTGTGTTTATTTGTAAAGTAAACTTTATACATTTTTTTCAAAATTGTTCCTCTTCAGGCATTAAACAGCTTGTCTGCTGCACCCGATAAGCTAATGTGTGGGTACACAGAGGCACATGCATACATGTCAGGTCCTCAGTTTCCTCTCTCCTAGTTGTCTGGCCTGTTATTGCCACGACTTAGTCTTCATTTAAAAAATAAAACAAAACCCAAACAAACACCCAAAAAACCAAAACCACCAGCCTTCCCCCCGCCCCCAAAGTCCCACAACCCCCCAACAACAATTCAAACCTCCAGACATCCAAGTCTTTGTTGACCAAGAAGGATACAGACACCTAAAAGGAAGTGAACAGCTCTGTAGCAACACTGTAAAGCAATCACAACACTGACAAGTTAATCAACAAATGCAGAATCAAGCTAGATATCAAAAGCGATATACCCATCCATAATACATGTAGAGGGCATAAATATTTTTAAATGATGTAGAAGCAGCTGTCAAATACATTTCTATAGCAAGCATTCTGGAATACAAATTGGGCCAACTTGTTTCTTATAGTTCAGGTAAAGAGTGCAAAGTTACCCACAATAAATGAAAAGGTATGCAGAGGCAAAAGAACTGTATAATCCATTAAACTTAAAGAAAAATGAGGGTTTAGAAGAGTCATGAAAGCACTAAACACGCACTACATCCTTCAAGTGTCCATATGTATACAGTCTTCACTAGAAGATGACTCATATAGCATTTAACCATACTGAGAAAATACTTCTGGCAGCAGAAAGTCATTGTTTGCCTCTGTGCTCTGGTAACAGCTCAACTTTTCCACATACTAGGACATGTTTCCAAATATCGCATTCATTGTTTTTTGCTAATTTGATACCCTAGCTATTCCTGCAACTTTACTTTTTTCAAAAATCTTTTATGATGATCAACATGAAATATAATTCCTGTCTTGCATCATACTGGAGTTGGTTTATATCCATTTTATGCCAGAATACGTAAGCATGAATTTAACACACTGCAATATTACAGAAAGCATCTTTCAAACAGAATCCCAATTCCAAGACTTGATCTAGAGCTTCACAACCTTCTCTGCTAGACATCTGTGCCCACTTTCTTCATGTTAGCAGAGATGGTCCAAGACTATGATTCCTCCTTCCATCATCATCCAAGATTACATGAATCCAAATGAAAGTCTGGTAAATAAGAACTTTTCAAAATCCCTGTACTGTATTAGTGATTTTAAGGAATATGTTTTATGAAATGGTATACAATCAACAGGTTCCCCTCCACATTGACTTCTACTGAAAGAGCAAAATATCTACAAGCATACATATGCAATAAAATAAATGATGTTCACAAATCTTTCCTTACTGTTAATCTCCTAGTAAAAAAAAAACAAACAAAACCCCACACCACCACACACATTATATTTTAAACACTGTTTAATAACTTCCATCCACCACAGCTATTATCCTGATGCATGGAGAAATCAGGGTTTTGGTTTTGCTTCTGCAAGTCATTCTGATGAACGAGACCTTTAGTGTTGTAATAACTATTGTGAGTAATGGAACAACCATTGCCTTTTATTAAGAAGGAACACTGAATAATGTATTACCAACACTAAGATCAAGGGAAAATATATTTTTATCAGGAAAAAAATATTAATATCAATCACACATTTTTTAAAGCAGAAAGGTGAAAGGCAGAAAAGGAAAAATTTAAGAAAATGCTACACAGTATGCAGTAAATGGCAGAAATTATACTGTGAAAATCCTTTTTTCTAGGGTGGCTACCTAGAGCTACATTATGGGCTAGAGGTACAATAAAAGATTGTGACATTTCTTGAGATATGTAAGTGTAAGGAAAACTCTACCCTGGTGAAGGTAGAGATGGGGGAGGAAGGTCACTATAGAGACTAGCACACTGCACATCGAAACACGAGTTAAAGCTCATTTCTTTTGAGGCTACAAACTACGAGAGCTGACATGATGGAACAACTAGGAATGTTCTGCTATACCTTTCAGTGGGAAAAGGTGGCTTTAAAAATGCAGGGAGGAGAAAAAGCTGTCGTGTTTTAGCATTCTTATTTATTACTTATATAGCACTACATAAAGTCACTTTATAGGCTTTAGAAATACACACCAAGACTAAGCCTTCCCCTGAAGTGGCTTACCATTTCCTTCGAGTGAATGCAGTTTGGACATCTGTAGTACTGGACAGAAGAGATGGTGCAAATAGAGTTGCAGAAGAAAAGCTGCAGGGAGCCAAGTGAAAAGATTCAAGGAGCAAAAGTCCTTGGGGAGAAGAGAGAAATGGCTTTTCCCAGAATTCTATGATGGTACAAACCAAAGCATAATCAGAAAGAGAGTGAGCACAGGGTGTGCTATGGCAAAAGGATGGTCCACACAACTCAGGGCCAGCACAAGTCCAGCCAAAAATAAGTGCGATGAGCAAGAGATGTTGCATGGTGAGTTTCCAGACACAGTCCAGAATTTTTTAACTTATGTCACTTAGAAACCAGTTACATCACTTCAAAAACCCCTATTGATTCAGTATACACTTTTAAAGATTGATTTTCTGTATTTTGTTCTTTTGTCCTTTAAACATTTTGATACTTAGCACCAGAGAAACTGAAAGATGCAAAAAGTTTCACCTTCTTCAGATGAAACCACTTTAGTTAAAAGACTGCAGAGTTAAAGTAAATCCAGCATCCTAAAAAGACAATTATCAGCAGAAAGACTGAGGCAGTTGAGACTTCTGAAAACTCATGAACTAAACAGCCACACGTGTACAGCGACTACTGACCATACTTCTGGTCCATGTAAAGAAGAGTAAGACACAAACACTAAGAACAAATCTGGGATTAGTGTTATCATACTTAAATTAATTCTGAATGCAATGTATTAATATTGGACCATGATTTTGCCCCTGTGATTTTTTTTAATTTGGAGCAATTCCTGCAACACTCAAGTGTCTCCACAAGCATTTTATCTTGCTGAATTAATAACACAAACATTTAGAGGAAAATGCAGACACTGTACCTAACAATTCCTCAGGCATACAGATTAAAACTGTTATTTAATGAAAATTTATTGTCAGATTTACATTTATATATAGCTAATAATACTAGGTAGTGGGTTCTTTACATTTATGTACAGCGCATTTGTCTAATGATACATGTTGGAATCTTTAAGACATCCCATTAGCTTTCATTTTACCACCTTAGATATGCACGTACTCTCCAAAATAAAGCCACTGAAACCAGGTTGTTCCATCAGCGTTAGATTTAATGAAGCCTCATTTCAAAGGATTTACATCCCCATCTTTCCCACATCTCTTTTTGTTCCCTCCACAAGAATGAGAGCCCTCCCCCATGACCCTTAAAGTATCCCAGAGAGGTGGGTTCCAGCAGTGCTGCGGTTAATCCAGGCTTCTGCATGCAATGAGTAGCCAGCCCAGAGGTGCCTGCTGGCTTCTGCCAAGCACCACGTGTTGGCTTTAGACAACAAAGGTGCCCCCGTCATGACAAGCAGGTCAAGGCCACTGAGCAAAACCGGACTGTTATAACTGTACAGTCTAATTACATAACCACAGTGGTACACGTACACATTAAATTATATACTACACCATTCAAGGATGAAACGCTGTTCGAATGCTGAAATGTGTTAGGGGTTTTTTAATGTTTATACAATAGTCACTGGCAAAATGTAAGCAGGCATGACTTTTTCCTACTATTTCTGGTTCATTTAAACCAGTAGGACTGCAAACTGCATGCAAACAATGGTGGAAAGAAAATAGAGAAAATAGCTGTAAATGCACAAAATGGTTTGCAAATCTTTCAAAAAATATAGACTGTACACTTTAGTGAACTGCTTGAAGAAAGGTAGCCATGAGTAAAGGAATCCATCTGAGAAAAAGAGGTTGCACACTTTTCTAGGTTTAATTTTCCCTCCCTGCACATATTTTCTCTCTGATTTTCCACAAATGCTCTCCGTATACTCGACTGTACGCTTCCATGTGTTTATCAAAAATACCTGTGGCAGGGATCATAGCTTTCTGCATTTTTGAACAGTGCACTGTGAGGTACTCAGTCAACGAGGCAATGTTGAATGATAACTGGGCTGCAACTCAACTGAAAGAATAAGCAAATTCTGGAAAGGGAAAAACTCTTTCTCACTGCCAAACCAACATTAAAGCATGATGGGAGCCTACTTATAGTATACTGTTGTTGGTTAGATGATTCTGAACACGATGACTTAACTAAATTCAGGCAAAAATAGGGCAGTCTTACGTGATTATTTTTCAGAGATGTTGCATATCTGGTATTAGAAAATCAACCCTCCTAGGGTTATATCAAAATACATCTATTTACTGAATACAACCCCTTTTCATAAGATGTTTTCTGCTGAGAAAGAGCGGCTTGCAGTTCCTGTTATCTAATACACACGTGCATTAGATTTAGTCCAGTAAGATACTAACCTTAACCTTAAGAGGTTTGAGTTTAGATTTTTAGCAATAAAGCCTGGCTATTTTCCCTCTCCTTCCCAACCAAGAGAGCCAAATTTCCTTGTCTAAAGCCAAAATGAGGTTTATCAGAGACTTTACCAGTCACAGACCTCAAAACATAGGTGACATGCTTATGAAAAAAGGGTCAATGCAGTGTCTGTCCATTTCAGCCTAAACTTTTGTTTAGAACATGGTCATGGCCATAATCATGCTGGAGAGAATTTGGTTTTCATGTTTTCTAGAAAACATTGCTACAGCAATAGATCTCTCTGAGTGAATAGATCTTGTATTCAACTACATGGACTTTGGAGAACAGGCTGTAGGGTGGTGCTCTGACATAACAGGAGTGAAACTGAGGCTCTCAGATTGGAGTAACAGGGAATAATAATTCCTGTGCAACATCATAATGCTACAGTAAACCTAATCTGGAGTAGGGCAATGACTACCACGCTGCCTGCTGAAATAGCCATCACTGTTGCATGCATCTCCCAAGCACATTTTATACTTAAAGATGTTCACCTTAAATTGCTTTCTTTAGGAGTCTTTTTCCACTTTAGACATGAGCTCTTAGCAAATTAATGACTAAAGTGTATCACAGTTCTCTTGCTTCAGTAGTTTGCTTTCAGAATCAGGACTTAGCACAACTCCAGCATTTTCTCCTTTGATTAATTTACACAAGTAAGAGAAGTCAATATTCTTGAAGTCAAATTTAAAAAATATAGAGGTAATTAGGTATTTTCTCCATTGTAATACTTGCAACAGAAATAGAAGTCAAAACCAGGGAGGAAGATATTGTGGTAAAGAGCCTAAACCTGCATTTTCAATATGCTGGCCTGCATCTTCTTTGGTAAAAGATTAAGGACTGCTCAAATGTTTCTTTAAACCATGGAAATTTTTTAAGTGCACGTGATTTCTACTAGTATATTATATTAATGGTCTTATGTCATAATTATATCGTAGCATGTACTAATTATAATGTTTAACTCTATATGCACATCATTCTCCAGCTTACTTACTACTTCATGGTTGCCAAATATCCTGAGAAATATGCATTTTAATCTATAACTATCCTAATGTTCCTGATTTTTTTTTCCTTTTAGACAATAGTCTATATGGTATTTTTTGGCTTAGTCTCACAATACAGAATTGCATGTGTCACATAATCAAGCCATAAAC